CAAATCCAGAGAAAAAAATCAATCAGTTAATTTATAAATGGTGGCATTGAATTAATATACATTTAGAATTTTACTATACATAATTATTCTTAGATTGGACTATTTTAAGGATGAATACCTAATAAACAATTACAATAGGCTGTTGTATATTTGATAAAATATAACATATTATATTTTTAAGTAAAATTGTATGATTATGAATTTTGAAGCCTACTTAAGTATTAAGCATTAAACTCCCCTTTAAATTAAGATTTAGTTTCTTTTAATTAAAAACTATTAAACTTTTTTCTATGTTAAACTCAATATCTTCACAAAAAAATTTTAATATTTAATTATATGTTAAAAGCAAAAATGATAGAAAATGAAAAAGATTTTGAATGTTAACAAAAACATAACTAACCAATTCTTTTGGTTGTGCTTGATCCAAAACTAGACAAGAAACAAAGACTTTTGTGCAATAAATGCATGGAAAACTTCGAATCAGATGCTAAAACTATAGGATTTTAAAAATTAATCAATATTATTGAAAATATTATTGATGAAAATATGAAAAATTTACAAAATATTACTTAGAAAACAGTTCAACAATTATCAATTTGTATCGAAAATATATAAGAATTAAAGACATAATTGATGAAATTATTTGATTCTATGATGAACATAGCTCAAGATTGGACTCAAAATCTATTGGCATAAAGTTAATAATTCAATAAATATAGTTTATATGAAGAATTAGATTCCTTTATTAAGAATTAGAATATTAATTATATATCTAATATGACTCTTATCAATAATATTAATAAATCTTGGAAGACTAAACTATATAATAACTTAAATTAATATATTCAACATAATGATAAACTTAACTTTAAATAGATAGAGGAAAAATTTATTAACATTGATTGTTCAAGTTTGTCAGAAATCAAATTAAAGTTAATTGATTAATCTGTTAAATAAAATTCGAGATGTTATGCAATAGTTTTTGATTCCACTGGGTCTATTATGGTATCAATAGAAGATAATGATATTAAAGTATGGAGCTTTTTAAATGGAACAATTAAATTGATTAAAAAATTGTAAAAACATACTAATTTGGTTTTATGTTTAGTTTTTAGTAAGAAATAGAATTTCTTTATTTCAGGTGCATCGGACAATACAATAAGATGCTGGAAATAATTGGATTAAACTGATTGGAGTAGTTCATAACCTTACTAATAACATACAAATACTGTAAGATATATTATATTAAATTCAAATGAGGATCTACTATTTTCTGGAAGTGGAGATGAATCAATTAAAGTATGGAAGGTTGATTTTAATAAAAATATATTGACAT